TTGATAACAGAAATGCAAAATGAGCGCACTGAAATTCGATTGCAGCTTTGCCGCTCGGAACTAGTTCGACGCGCGCACAAGGGCAATGGCGATGCTGCAACATGGGGCAATACGGGATTTACTCGTGTGAGGTAGTTTATTACTGCAATGAGGCCCATCGTCGAGCTACTTGATCTTCCGCTCGTTGACGTCTTTCGACTATATCTGCCAAACCAAACTGCGGCGGAGCTCGAGCTGGGAAGACCAATGGTTGAGCCGCCGGGCTTTCTTTGTACGTAGTACGCATTTTCAAAGTAGCCTGCAATCCTAGTGAAGACGTCCCTGCCAACATTGCCGCCGCCCGCTTCTTTGCCGCTCCCGAGGCGCCCCGTTTTTAGGCTGCACCAAGATCACGTTGCAAGATCACGTTGCCGATCGTCCTCCACCGCGACCTCCAATCGTTGACGCCGCCTCAGTCGCTGGCGTCTCTCGAGGACCTCAACCAACTGCGTAGCTTTGCCGCCGACGGCAAAGCCTGGAAGGCTTTACACAGCGAGTCGTCATGGGCCTCACCCGCGGCCGCAAGCGCCCCCGGGCGACTACAGAAGAACAAGACGCAGCCACGGCCCGGCGAGCGAATGAAGAAAAAGAGATTGCAAGTCTCTGCGTATGCTGTAACTCTTTGTAACAACAAAGATTACGCGAAACACGTTCATATAAAGCCTGCAAGCCGCAACTATTAATAGAACGATGGGAGCGGGCCAAGCTTACTACAGTTCCACGAGGCTGGATGCCTGAGTAGTGCTGGCGCAGCCTCGACGATACCGAGATACGTGTCGATAGTATATGCCTTTGACAGAGATAATACACTGCGCAACAAGAATACCAGCATGGACCAGGATACGTATACTCCACGTAGTAGTTGATAGCGTCTATTAATAACTGTTACTGGCTCAATGGTGCGCAAGAGGGCACTGTGATTAGTACGAAAACTTGCGCCCAGGTGCATACTGGTACCTTTCGGAAGAATAATGCACCGCCTAGCCCCACTGGCCTAGCCCCATGACAAGGACTCTCTTATCTTCACGAAGCTAAAAAAATGGCGGGTGGTCGGCCACCTCGGCCGCATCGCTGCCAAAAACCACCGTACTGGTACTAGTATTGATATTGCCGCGCTCGTTGCGCACGCCTCGTCCAATAAACCAACGAAGAGGAGGTGCGTTGGATTGGCCAATGCCAATGCAGTCGTTCTCGAACGTTACTAGGCGGACCGGTACTGTAACGGCATTGGTCCGAGCGCTGGCCGCGACGCAGCAGCTCAGGACACGGTTCTCGCTTGGTACTGCAGCTCCAGGTTAGCCGAAGGTTGTGTCCTCGTGGGGCCAAGCGACACAAGCCTCGTTCCCGCCCGAAAATGCGTACTACGTACAAAGAAAGCCCGGCGGCTCAACCATTGGTCTTCCCAGCTCGAGCTCCGCCGCAGTTTGGTTTGGCAGATATAGTCGAAAGACGTCAACGAGCGGAAGATCAAGTAGCTCGACGATGGGCCTCATTGCAGTAATAAACTACCTCACACGAGTAAATCCCGTATTGCCCCATGTTGCAGCATCGCCATTGCCCTTGTGCGCGCGTCGAACTAGTTCCGAGCGGCAAAGCTGCAATCGAATTTCAGTGCGCTCATTTTGCATTTCTGTTATCAAGTTCGATTTTGCAAAGCGCCCTTAGATGGGACTTTTGATCCGATCATCTGTCGGTCATTGCACTTCCGCGGACAGTGGAGCACCGTCTTGCCGTCGTCGAGGACGAGTTGTCCACGACGCCGCATGCATCCTACTATAAAGATGATGCATTAGAACTCTAGCTCAGCGATCGTAGATTGGGAGCTCACAGCAGTCAGTACGTTTACCTTGCCAGCGCACTCTCTCATCGATATATGGTTGGGCTGCCAAGGACACAACGTATGGATACTACACCGCCGCGATTCAGTGCACGCTCCGTGTATTGATTAGTTTGCACATACGGCCTTTTGGCTAAGGCGCGAGGGCCTTGTATATGCTGCAACCTCACCAACAGCGTTCGTGGAGTTTTCCTTGGAATCCTCGGGAGGCCTTTCCCTATTATCCGGATCCAGGTGGCCGTGCCCAGATTCCATTGGACGTGAACGCTGCTATCCGCAACAGCGTGCATGAATTGCCATGACCAAGTATGTACTTCTTTATGGAAAAAGCCAAGCCAGGACTTTGTGTGGGAAATCTATTTTTCACATCGCCCACACGGCGAAAACCACGCGCCATCTGGTGATATTTTCTAAAATTTGTATCTTGTTTTGTGTATTGGAAGGAAAGATAACGCGGCGCGGATCAGCAGAATCCCATCAAAAGGTGCGGATTTTTGCGCACTTTATCGCGATTTTTGCGTACTATGTCGGGCCGCATTTAAAAAAGACACTTGGAAACGACTGAAATCGTACCTAATATTCCAGCACGTTGCCCCCCTACAGCAAGGGATCTGCACCATCCGTCTTGAAAAACCCACGGAGTGGTTTTTTTCGTAGAGATGGTGAAATTAGGTTTCCCACCGGTAATCATACCTTCTCGGCCTTTTGGCTAAGATCAAGTGTAGTATCTGTTCTAATCAGTGTGAAAACTGATTTCCACACTTCGGTGTGGTTTTTTTTCACATTCATTTTTACAAACTCCGATAGTCCAGTTGGCTTGCCACTGACTATTGGACTGGTTTCCGAGGGCCCAGCACTCCTCCCTTGTGAAGCCTAACTACTACACTCGACTCTTATTTCTCACTCAAATCACCACTTCCACTTCATATTCTTTCACAATCCACACCTCTCCAGCGCGAAGCGCTGCCGACGAGCGAAGCGAGTCGCAATCAACTTTGCCCGCAGGGCCCGAGGCGTAGCCGAGGTTTAGTTCAGTTGGTAATACTACACTAGGTCTGCATTGTACACTGACATCTCCTCCGTTGCATTTTGTTTCCAACCACTCCAGCGCAAGTCGCAGCAACCTTGCCCGCAGGGCCCGAGGCGTAGCCGAGGTTTAGTCCATATGGCTAACGTATGCTTCATAATGGCCAACCATTGCTTTCACAGTTTACAGCTTTTAACCACGTTGACATTGACTGCAGGCCCCATAATTGCGCGAGAGCATTTGTGCAAAGATGTAGTCAGGGTTTGTGGTCGCAGCGTAGAGGAGTGCTGTAAAACCAGTTCAAAAGGGCATGGAAAGACAACTGGACTTTTAGAATTGTAAATATAGTGTGAAAACACCCGTCGGAAGAGTGGAAATTAGAATTGCCACATTGTTTTACACTAAATGTGTTGGATTCTTCACTATATTTAGTTCTTACTCTTTTGGAATTAAAATCTGGCAATGAAGTGTAAAAAACACCAGTCCGAAGAGTGGATATTAGAATTTACAATTTTTTTGCACGGTTGGATTCGGGACATGACCAAGTTTTCACTCTGCTGGATTCGTGTAAAATATAGGCCTTTCTCTACATGATTCGTGTTCTTGTCTTCTGCGTGTACGTGCTCTTTGACACACAGATGATCATGGAGCAGGCGACGATGGACAATGTTGACTTTCGCTCCACGCGTCGACCTCTTCCTCGGTACGCCATGTTGGCATGTACATGGCGCTGACGGCCTTCGCTTATTCAACAATTGTCTTTATTGTATTGTATTGCGATTGCTTTCCCGATCGACCGCGCGGACCTCCGACCTCATGGGACCATTGTCAAGGTCCGTGGCGGCGCTTCTTCGACGGGTGCAATCGTGGCGGCGGTTGCTGTGCGCGCGTTAAATCTGCTGGGGTACATGTTTCTTGGTGTACAACGGCCCATTGTGAGCGTCTATGGCCAGGACCACGAGCGCTCAATGCTCGGAATGCTGCTTGTGAGAGAAGCGCGGGCCGCTCGTGGAGCGTGGTCGTTTGGACGAGTGCAAGCTGGCCGAGTGCAAGCTAGACGAGAAGTGCAAGCTGGACGAGGAGTGCAAACTGGAAAAGTGCAAACTGGAAAAGTGCAAACTGGAAAAGTGCAAGCTGGAGAAGAGCGGGCGCCGATACATATAGCATGGGCGCCGTCGTGGCTGGTACCAAGAGCGAGGGCCGCGGCGGTCAATTCTCATGTCGTTTGAGCACCGCGAAAGTGATGTATATTATGCTCTCTGGATGCATCGAGTTGCGTCGGCCCGCCAAAAACGCGCGAACCGCAGATCACTGTTTCTTGGTGCTTGTCTACTACTAGTATTGGCCCATGAGGCTTTTCGCGATGCTACGGGACGCAGCGAATCACCTCGACAAGGACGTCATGCGTGCGAGCCGCGCAACATTGCCCAATTCTTGGAAGAGATAGAACACTATGGAGATAAATGGAAAGAAGAAACTGCCAGCATCGTGCATGGTTCCAAGGTCCATTCATTTCAGAGTCGAGCCAGGATGGCGCAACGCGTGTGTTCCCAAGCGAGCGATACCGACCGGCAGATTTACGAAGCAGCAATGAACAACGTGAACGAAGAGGCACCATGCTTGCGGACAAGTCGTCTCGAAGCAAGCACCGCGCCGCCACTTCGCATTGACGGCATCGACGGTGTCATCACGTGGCCGCTCTCGTCCGCGCACGTAGCAGCCCTCGCAGCACTCGACGTTCCCAATGGCAAGCTTCTCCCGACGTCTTTTGCTTTTGTTCAACCTACTGCGTGGCGCGAGATCGTCCAGGATGAGCTGCAACAGATAGCGGCATATGGGCTCATGGACGCTGACCTCGTTCTCTCGCACCTCGTGATCGACGCCGTTGGCACGGGCGCCACGCTCATGCCGCTGGACATGCCGCCCGACGTATTTGGCTTCATGATTTTGCACTTGCCATCGGCCTACGACGGCGGTGAGATGAAGTTCAGCTATCGCTACACGACCGAAACATGGACACCCGACAGATGCAAACTCGAGGTGGTCACGACCTTTCGCGACGTCGTTCCTGCCTCGACGCCAGTCACAAAAGGGGTGCGCATGGCGCTCGTCTACCGTCTCGGTATGGTCGACTACAACGAAGATGGTTTTCCCTTGCCCTGCGACCTCTCGGACGGCATCGACGCGTTCAAGCGCATCGCAGACATGCCGCTGCACACGTTCCAGCGCATTGCGGTGCGTATCGACGACGACGAATTGGAGACGTTTGAGGATCCCGCCGACTTCTTGCGCTTTGACTATCTTGATGGACTCGACGCATCGTTGGTTGACACGCTTTTGGCCACGGAGCTGTACGACATTGCACTTGTGGCGTTCGCTAAACAGTCGACCGACGACGACGACGAAGATGACTATGCTTACGAGCCCTAGATTGAAAACAAAGTTGCTGCGTGCACGCCGCACCCACGGTGTCAGATCCCCGCCGACGTTGTTGCGGCACTCATTGGTAGCTGCGTCGACGCGGTTCTCTGTGACGGCATGCTCATTGACGACGACGAGTTTAAGTGCCCGCCGGTCGCGCTCGTCTTTTGGCTCAAGCGGTATCGGCCGACTTTGCTCGGTCTTGACGCAGTGCTACCGCTCGTGCAAGAAGCCATTGCCAACAACACCGCCGGCCAGCCATGTCTGGGTCGCCCGACCGTCCGCGACGTTCTTCTTAGAGCCCTGGGCACTTTTCACCCCGACCAGTACGACGCACTGTTTGAGAAAGGAGTGACGAACGCGCGTCTCACAATGTTGTGTGACGTGCTTCTGGCGCTCGACGATGTGGAGTTGGTCGTCATCTTTCTACGAGATGCTGTTTTGTGGGCTACTGCATGGGCAACTCGGCCACGGCGGCGTGCATCCATGCGTGCCTTTCGCAGTATGGCTGGGACCGGCTGGCACGGGTCATCTTAGGCATTCTCACTCGGTGGTACCAAGCGCCACCGTCTCAACACGCACGTTTGGAAGCCATTCCCATTGACTGTGCACCACGGCTGCTCGCGAGCCTTGCGGGCATCACTACCGAAGCGGTGTGTCCGCCATTGAAGCAACCATTTGTGTGCGAGTTTATCAAGGCATGCTACCACCACGTACTCAGCCAGCGCCGGTTCGTTCCAGACACTGACAACTATCGCGAGGCGTTCCGTCGGTTCGCAACCCACGTCATCCTTCTCGACTGGTACCTTGACGAATGCGCGCCCGATGCGGTCAGCGAGAGCTACCTTGGTGCTTTCTTGCCACCAAGCATGATCCTTGCGGTCGAGTCGTTTCTCTATACCCGTCAACCCGGCACCTCGACGCTACTTGCCGTGTACAAGACGCTCGCACCGGAAAAGCTACTCTTGCAGCTGCCGGAGGCCTTTGTACTGGCCTTGGTCAGCCAGCCGACGATCCCTTTGGACCTGTACGTCGGCGTCATCGAGCAAGCGCTTGTGACGTTCAATGCAACACGAGTGCGCTATGAAAAGCTGGGTACGACTGTCTTTGCGAACGTTCTGGATGTGCTTGAACGAGCGGGGCGCTGTGACAGGGCCCGATTTGAAGCCGTTTGGACGCTCTTGTCTCCGGCGTCGCTGGCCGGAACTCGGCAGCTGCATAACGACGAACACTGCGGGACGATGTGCGCGCGGGTATTGCGTCGCTTGTGCTGGCGCTTGCGCCGACGCTGTCGACTCCAAGCCACTGGCAGGTGACACAAGCGAGTTGCTACACATCGTGGGAGCAGCCTGGGTTGATTGCAGTCGAAGTGCTTGCGACAGTCGACCCGACGCAAGTGCCGACGCTACTCCAGCTATGGCTCGAGGCCATGGACATCGACCAAGCAGACGCTCGGGACCCGGCACGGGAACTCTACGTGCCTTTGGCGCAACTGCTTGCCAACGTCGTGCCGCAGCACGTAGACGAGATGGAAGCCGTCGCACAGCGCTGCCTCGCTGTGATCGGCGACGTTCGCAGCCGCCCACCGCTTCCAGACATCACCGATTATGTCTTTGGCGACATTCAACTCGATGCAAGCCATTGCAAGCACTGTGCGCGCTTCGTCGGCTTCTTGAACAACGGCACACGGACCAGGCTTAGATTGCTCAAGACGCTGTGCGATCCAGGTCGGCGCTGTGTCGACGCCAACCGCCACCGTCTCGAGGTCCAGTACCATGTTGGGGGCATTTCCTATCTTAAGGTGCAGCCAAGTGGTGGTGTGAGTAAGTATCAGCTCAACCAGCATACCAAAGCCCAGCGTGTCGACGCCGCCGATCGCGCGCGCGTTGCGGCTCTGGACATTCTCTTGGCTAATGCACCGCAAAAAACGGTGCGGGGCGTCCCGACCAAGAACGACAACGACGACGAAGCCAGACATCTTCACCTCGTCAAGCGCCAGCGGCGACCAAGAGACACATAAAAGGAAACAGTGCATAGAGTGTATACCGTGACGGGATTGCTGATGAATTGATCGAGACCAAGCAGTAATCTGTTGTCAAGTGTGTCGACGCAAATGGTTTTTGATAGTTCGTGCCATGCTAGCGCGTGCGTGCGGTCTTTTTAACCCTCCGGGGACGGAGGGTTAACCCTTCGTGTACATCACGTTGTACAACATCCCCGCGACGACGTCCGACGACATCCCCGCGACGACGAGCGGCGACACCGACGATGTCCCTACCTACGGCGCCTGCGTGCTCATCGTCTTGACGGATACCGGTACGTGCGGCAACCTTTTTGCTGCGGGAAGGGTCATGTCTCATGCCACGACCTTGATGTAGGGTGATAGCGTTGATCATCTGCAACTTCCTGGTCGAAGATGTCATCCCGGCGTACGTCAACCACCTCAACGCCGCTGCGCAAGCGCTTTCGCGGCTTGGCTTTGCTCCGCGCCGCTCGACGTGACGGATGACAACGACGTGTCCAACGACGAGTAAGACGACGTAGATAGCTAAACGCTTCAATACTGTTACTTATGAACCTCGACTTGAGTCTTACATCGTCGAGATTGCAATGCACAAAGTGGCGTTGTCCTATGGATGGGTGCCGGCTGGGAAAGCTCCAAAAGTGCAAGCTGGGGAGGAGGAAGTTGGAGACGAGCGGGCGCCTAGACATGGAGCAGAGGTGCATAGACGCCATCGTGACTGGTACCAAGACGGAAGACCGCAGCGGTCGATCGGTAGCAGCCGAGCGGAAGGCTTCTTCTGCCCATGACATAGCGAGGTCTGTGTCGCAGCCACAGTCACAGCTTCCGACCACTGGCTTCCGATTCCACTCATCATGCATGCATGCCCTCCTTTTCCCGGCCCTTTCCTCGCCTGCGACGTCCCTTGGTATGGCGCGCGATCCTGCGTGACGCATGATCGTTTCCGCCAATCCAATAGCACCAAATGTCGCTTTTCAGCCAATCAGAACACGACCATACATCCAGCGGCGTTGTGCCAGCGTTTACATGGCAAATTTGTATGCATACGTGGCACCATGTGACGGCGCCAACACTGGATGTGACGACACGCGATGACCACGAGCTCGCATTAGATTCATCGCCTTGCGCAGTATATTAACCCAAAGTGTACCACTTCGATGGAATGTAAGCTAGATGCGAGCCAAAATCACACCCGTGGGTGTCCCATCGGGCTGGTGCGGGTCTCGATCCCTCACAATTCAATTGGCCACACGCCTTGCCATGGTCAACAAGTTTTCCTTCGCGGCCTTGGCTTCCTCAACGATGCGTACGACCTCTCGGTCATCAACATCATCAACGTCATCTTGGAGCACCAGTACGGCAAGACCGTCTTTGACTCCAACATGAAGTCGAGCGTCTCGACGTCGGCGCTCATCGGCGCTGTCCTCGGCCAGCTCGTCTTTGGTGTTCTCGGTGACATTTACGGCCGCAAGAACTGCATGGTGGCCACGTGCGCGCTCCTCATCATTGGCGGTATCCTCTGTGCGGCGGCCTACGGCGGCTCGGACCTCGGCACGCTCTGGTTCCTCGTCGTCGCCCGTGGCATCCTCGGTTTCGGTATCGGCGGCGAGTACCCGCTGGCTGCGTCGTCGTCGTCGGAGGATGCGACGTCGACCGCCGACCGCAACCGCCGCGTCGCGCTCACATTCTCGCTGCAGGGTGTCGGCTTCCTCATCGCCGGCATCATGGGTCTCATCATGGTCAACGTGCTCGACGACACGCCGCAGCAGCTCGAGATCATGTGGCGCGTGCTCTTTGGCGTCGGTGTCCTCCCGGCCTTGTTTCTTGTCTACTACCGCATCACGGCCGAAGAGACGCACGTGTACAAGACGATGCTCGCGGAAGAAGTGCACATGACGAAGATCCGCTGGTCGTTCATCCTCAAGCACTACGGCAAGAGCCTCCTCGGCACGGCCGGCACGTGGTTCCTCTTCGACATTGTGTTTTACGCCCAGAACCTCTTTTCGGCCTCGATTCTGTCGGTGATTGGCGCCAACTCGACGCTCCAG